ATCCAACAAGAAGGAGGAGTAGCTATCCTGTTTTCAGACAAGGTGGACTTCAAGCCAAAGCTGATCAAAAGAGGCAAATAATGACATTATATATTGGTTAACAGAACTATTCAACAAGAACAGATAGCAATTATAAACATATATGCACCAAACCATGGTGTACCCAACCTCACAAAATGAATACTATTCTGTCATGTTCACCAGCACCAAAAACCATATAAAACTTCTGGACTTAAACATCTATGATTTTTCAACCTTTCAGAAACCCCAAAAATCATGCACTGGGTCATCCCCCACTGCTTCTATTTTGTTGGCTTCAATCTTCCATTGCCCCCAAACAAGGACCTAGACTAGGAGGGAGCTGGTCACAATATTATTGACAGGAATGATTGACAGGGTGCTGAGTCATCTCAAGGGCATCCAGAGAGCATGACTCTCCCACAATTTACTGTTTGAATCACATGCATGACATGCAGTCCCTACATATGAACCTTCAAAGAAGTCTGAGTGGAGAAAAGGTTACTGTAGATCAGGCCACAGGATATAACAGGCATATGCTCTGGCTTGCAGCTTTAGAGACTTCCCAGGTCTTTGTTATTCTTATTCCTGCTTCTCTTAGGATAATGAAAGGATTGGCTCTGTGCTTTGCCCAAGTTCAGATGGATGGAGGGAGAGTGGTCCCACAGCCCCAGTTGTGCTGCCTGCAGTAGGCCGACACTCCTATTTCCTTTTATCTTGACTCCCTGTGGATGTGCTGGGTCACAGCGACACCCCCCCCCACTCACATATACACAAACGCTTACTGAATGGATCATGAATGAATCCAGTGCAGGTGCAGTCTATCATTTTTTTTGTCCTCTTTGGGCTTTCAAGATCTCTCCTTTGAACAGAGGAACCCTAAATGTTTGTGTTTGATTTTTCTACTGGTGATTGAACCCAGGTCCTTCTCACTGAGCTACATCTGCTGCTCTTTTAAAAAATTTATTATTTTGGCTGGGACATAGCTCAGTGGTGCCACCACCTGCCTTACAAGCGCAAGGTTCCAAGTTTGATCCCTGGTACCAAAAAAAAAAAAATTAAAAAAAGATTTATTATTTTGAGCTGGGCATAGTGGCACATGCCTTTAATCCCTCCATTCAGGAGGCTGAGTCAAGAACATTGCTGCAAGTTCGAGGTCAGCCTGGGCTACACAATGAGCTCAGGGTCAATCTGAATTACATAGCGAGACTCTGTCTCGAAAAACAAAACAAAACAAAACAAAATTGTTATTTTGAGACACAGTCTCGCTAAGTCACTAAGTTGCCCAGACTGGGCTCTAACTTGAACGTGCCACCATGCCCAGCTCCTGTCTTTTGAAGACATAAAGGACACTTCTGGGACTTGTGATCTGTCTGTAGGTCAGGTATATAAAAGCTGATTCATCTCTTCCTGCCAGGGGTGGCAAGAGTTCAAGTTTATTGTAAAAGTGTATAGTAAAAAGGACTTTATTAGCTAAACTCATTCCCACGGGCCTGCAGTACGGGAACATCTTTCATGGCCCAGTTTACACATGGGAAACAGCGAGCGCTGTGGGCTTTGTGAGTGGCCAGTCGGGCATGTTACCTCACACTCTAGACTGGGGAAACTGAGGCACGTGGGAGCCCATGCCAGAGTCACATGGCGGGGAGTGAGCACACTCTGCTGCTGAAGGAAGCAGGCTTTGTGCTTGGTTCAGAGAAAGCCTCCGAGAAGCAGGCACTCTGACAATTTAGGGACAGTTCTGTGAAGGAGGCACGGGATTAATCAAAGGATGTGTGGATGCCTCGTTTATCAGCCAGGTATGGTCGGGGAAGGCCATTCTCTGGGAAGCGGGAGGAAGAGGAGTGGAGGCCGGGGGCAGCAGGTTTCACTTGCAGCGCAGCTGTCTCTGCAGCTCACCAAGCATTGCCCATCTGGGCTGCAGACGAGACTTTCAGGCTCAGTTAAGGCCTGAAACTTGTGCGCCCAGATCACAGAGCACAGGGAATGCAGGACCGGGGGCCTCTCGTCCCTTTCCTCCATGGAGCGGAGCACATGGCGTCCCCAGACGGCCCTTCCTGCTTACCTGGCTCATGGCTTCTAGTGTATGCGGGGGGCACCGTGGCTGCTTTCAAATGTCCTGCCGCTGGCATTCTGATTGTCACCTCTATGGTCTGGATCCCAGCCCATGGAGGGCACAGAGCTGGAAGAAAAGAAACAGCCTCCAGGGTGCTGTCCTCCCCCTCCTCGTAGCAGTGGGGCCTGGCATCCTGTGGCAGGAAGATCACCTTGGCTGATACCCTGGGGTTTTCTGCTCTTTCTCTCTTGATCTCTTCAGCAGGGGAGTAAAGGCAGGAGGCCTTGCGCTGATTCACTCCCTGGAGGGGAGCGTGCATGGGCCCCTTCCAGGCCTCACAGCACTGAGGCAGGCAGCCGGCTGTGGGTCAGGGCTCTGCTGGCCTCCTGGACCGACTGTCCTTGGGAAGGGAGGTAAGTCACTGGACCTTCTCAGGGCAGGAGGCGGGCTTGGGGGTGGCAGTGGCTCTTCCCCTGGCTGGCTGGCTCCCCGCTCCTGATGTCCATGGGGAGCATCTGTGGGCTCCTCCTGCTCCCTGGGGTCCCACCATTCATGATCAGGGAGAAGGACAGGTCAAGTCCCTGAGTTGTCCCCTGGAAGCTTTAGCAATCCTTCCTCCAGGTGGTGGTGCTAATTGACTGCACCCTCCCCAGTCAACTTCTGGGGGTCCCAAAAGGGGAATACCCATGCCAGGGCCTGGTGGGACACACTGTAATCACAGCAGGAGGCTGAGGCAGGAGGATTGCTGCAAGCTTAAGGCCAGCCTGGGTTACATAGTGAATTCCAGGCCAACTTGAACTACATAGTGAGACCCTGTCTCAACAGAGAAAAAAAAGTGAATAGCCTTGTGAGAGGGAAATGCCCCAAGAGGGTAGCTTCATATTCAGGCCAAGTGACCAGTGCTAGGTCCTTTCCTAAGAGCAGAGGGAGAGAAGATGCCTTGTGCTCCTGCGGAGGGACCCTGCAGGCACACTGAGGTGGATGGGCTGAGGAATGCACCTGGGCAGGGCTGGGACGGGAGCCGGGACACATATCCCACCGCTGCTCCTGGGCCTGGTCAGTGAGGCGCTGTCCCCTTGCATGTGCACCAACATCCACGAGGGCACAGGGGACATGGGGAACACGGTGGGCGTGGGGGCCTCAGCTCTACAGCTCCTGTGCAGATCCACGTGATCATCCAACCAGGCCCATGGCTGCGGTGACGGCACTGCCTTCGCCTCCTGGGCGGCGACTTTTCCATGGCCTGCAGCAGAGCCCAGTGTCCTGAGCCCTTGTCTGTACTGGACCTGAACCCGGGGCTGAGGGCACAGGGGACAGAGGCAGGGCCTTCAAGGGCATCTCTGTGTGGGCAGCAGAGAGCGGACGTGGCCCGCCAGGGAGCCCCGGGCCTGACGGCATGGAGCAAGGAGGAGCCCAGAACAGTCAGGAAGCGGGGTTGAGGGCCAGACCTAACCCCTGCCCCTGAGCCCTGAGTGGAGAGAAGCACAAGGCAGGTGGCAGCTGGCTCCAGCAAGGAGTGGACCACGGCCAGTGCCTGCTGAGCTGACTTCAGCCTGGCCAGCTTGGGCCTTGCCCTGCTAGGACTTGAAGCCCCCACCTAAAGCTCAGCCAGCTTGGGCCGACTGTGCAGGGAAGGAGGAAGAGGAACAAGAGGCACCATCTTGGTTCAGAGCTGGCAAAACTCCAGGGAAAGCACTGGGTCCACAGTCTGTTCCTTGGGTTTGCTCTGAAAGGTGGTCGCTTCCCCAGCGGCTCTGGCCAGCCTGCCTGCCTCTGGGGTCCCTATTCCTATCTCCCCAGGGTGTGTGTATGCGTGTGTGTGCGTGAATACATGTGTGCTGTTAAAAAGAACCAGAGCTGGAGGGGGCATAGTGGTACACATTCGGGAAGCTGAGGCAGGAGGTTCACTGCCAGAAGATGTGGGGGCCAGTCTTGGCCCTGCTTCCCAGGGAAGCCAGCTTGGGATCCGCTTGCAAGGATCACTGCAGCAGCCTCTGAGCCCCCATCTCTCCCTGTTGTTGGTATCTAGCCCAGAGTGTGAGAGGGCTAGGGAGGAAGTGGGTGAGTTCAGGGCCGGAGTTGGTTTGCATTTGCAGGGCGCAGTCTTGGGGAGCTGTTCACTACTTCTAGGAATCGGCTCACCCTGGGGCTGCCTCACCCTGGGGCTGATGTCCCTCCAGGATCAGCACCACCTGAGATGTCAAAGCATCAAATACACAAAGTAAACCGTCCCCCCCCAACCACGCACACAGCTGCCTCCTGTTGCTGGCCAGCTCTGTGGGTTCCGAAGCCAGCAGCTCAGAAGCTAATAACCGGGAGGCTGCCCGGCTGGGGGAGCCTTATGGGAAATACCATAAGCAGGTGCTTGGCTGACAGCCCCGCACCCCAGGGGAGTGCAGTCAACCAGGTAATCCCAGCCTTTGGGTCCTTCTCACTGGGGGGCAATGGAGAGGAAATTCGTCCCCACAACATTCCAGCCTTTGTAATAAAATATGCCTTAGGCGTCTGTGTTTTGGGGTCATTTGCTACACAGCAATAGAAACTGGAACACTGTGCTGTACTTCCACAAAAAGTTTACTTTATAAAAAGATGTTTTTTAGTTGGGCATGCTGGTTTATGCCTGTAATACCAGACCTTGGGAGGCTGAGGCGGGAGGACTGCAAGTCTGAGGCCGGCCTGGACCACAGAGTGAGACCTTGTCTCAAATAAAAAACAAAAGATTTCTCACTCTCTCTCTCTTTCACTCTCTCTGTCTCTTTCTTGAGACAGGGTCTCGCTGTGTAGTTCAGGCTGGCCTTAAACTCACTATGGAGCCGAGGCTGGCCTTGAACTCAATGGCAATCCTCCTGCTTCAGCCTCCCAACCTCTGGGATTACACCACACCTGGCTGATAGACTTTTCACGTACAAGTTGCTTTAGCAAAACGATGCCTAACTGCCATCCTGGAGGGGTAAACCAGACACAACATCGCATCTTTACTTCCTGTCTCCCAGGCTCCGCGGTGAGTGAGCTGGCTTCTGGCATGGCCGACCCTGACCCTGACCCCAGCATGGCCCCGGCCAGCGGCAACTCCTGCCTCCCTTACTTCCCGCCCCGCGGGGCCAGCGTGGGGCTCTCCCTGTTCTATTCGGCTCTCTTGGTCTCCAGCTCCCTGGGGAACATCCTGGCGCTCTGCCTGGCCCGGCACAAGGGCGAGAAGACCACGTCGACGGGCGTCTACCTGACGCACCTGGCGGTGTCCGACCTTCTGTTCGCGGCGGTGCTGCCCGGGAAGATCGCCTACTACGCGCGGGACTTCCGCTGGCCGCTGGGGGACGCGCTGTGCCGGCTGACTGCCTTCGTCACCTACCTCAACACCTACGGCGGCGTCTACCTGATGGGCTGTGTGAGCGCCGACCGCTACCTGGCCGTGGTGCGCGCGCCCCGCTGCGCGCGGCTCCGGAGCCCCAGCCTGGCGCGGCGCGCATGCGCGGTCGCGTGGGTCCTGGCGCTGCTGCAGACGGCGCCGTTGCTGTTGCTGCCGCTGGGCGGGCGCCTGGTGGGCAGGACCACCTGCATGGAGCTAGGCCGCGCGGCGCCGGTGCTGCGCCGGCCCGGCTTGGTGCTGGCCGCCTGCGCGCTGGGCTTCTGCGTGCCCGTGGGCCTCATGTTCTTCTGCTACGCGCGCATCGCCCAGAGGCTGCGCGCCGCGGCCCGCCGGAGCCCGCCGGGCTCCCAAGGCCACTACCCACGGCGGGCCTGGCGCCTGGCGCTGGCCGTGCTGGTGGTCGTCGTCGGGTGCTTCAGCCCCTACCACCTGCTGGTCATACAGTTCATGGCCAGGGCCCTGCTGCGCCCGCCATCCTGCGCCGAGCAGCAGGCGTTCGCGGGCGCCCTGCAGGTCACCATGACCCTCATGAACCTCAACTGTGCCATCGACCCCGTCATCTACTTCTTTGCGTCCACGCGGTACAGGAAATGGCTCCTGGGCTTTTGGAAACTCAGAGCCTCCTCGCCCCCAGGAAAGGCGTCCTCAGAAACAGCTAGTGTCAACCAGACACGAGGCTCTGTGTCCCCAGGCTTTGTGGCAGAGGTTGGGGTCTAGTCCCTGGCCTTAGAAGCAGGGGCGTGGTGGCGCACACCTGTGATCTCCGCACTCCGGAGGCTGAGGCAGGAGGATCACTGCAAGTTCAAGGCCAGTCTGGGCTGCACAGCAAGACCCTGTTTCCAAAAACAAACAAAAAAAGGATAAAGAGAGCTCCTAGCCTGAAGCTTATACAGGGGGGTGGGTGGGTTGGAGGTGTAGGCTGCTTAAGAAAAAGAGTACAAAATAAGAAATACATTAATGTTTCTGGTTTGGGATTATTTTGTCAGATTTTGGGACATTTGCATATACACAATGAGACCTTGAGGATGGAGCCCGAGTTTCACACAAAACTCAGGTGTGTTTCGTTCACACCTGACACACATAGCCTGAAAGTAATTTTATACAAGATTTAAACAATAATTTTGTAAACAAAAAAATAACTGTATAAAACATTGTGGAATGTTCAACTTGTGATGTGCTGGCACTCGAAAAACTTCAGATTTTTGTGAGGCATGGAGGTGCGTGCCTGTGATCCCAGCCCTCCGGAGCTGAGGTAGGATTGCCAAGAGTTTGAGGCCAGCCTGGGCTTTTCGGATTAGGGATGTTGAACAAAACTAGACAAGGGATCTTGGAGGGAGCTTGAGACTCAACTGCATCAGCTTCTGGCCAAGTGCACCTCTACAGTTTCCTAATAACAGTGGTGCTCTGCCTCTGAGGGGTGCTTGGCTTTTTATTCAGGAAAAACAGTTTTCACAGCAAATGGTGAGCACTAGAGCAGAGATTTAGTTTACTTCAAACGTAGGAAGGTGATATTTGTAAAGAGCAAAAGCACTTCTCGTTCTCCGTTTCCAGACTTCAAAATGTTTAGTTAACATTTGCAAAAACGCCAAGGTTGCCTTGAGAAAGTCCCCTCGAAGCCAGCTGCCTCTGGGGGTGAGGACTGCGCTGGCTTTTGAACGTCCAGATCTGGGCAGGAGAAAGCCTTTGGGCATCGCTGCATGAAGGAGAGGAGAAAGTGAGGAAAAGCTGCTTCAATTTGTTTTCCATTTGTTTGTGTGCTTCAGAAAGGTGTGATCCATGGAGGTGCGTTGAGAATAGAGTTCTGTGTGAAGGCTCTGGGTTCAGTCCCTAGGACAGGGGGGAAAACAAAAACAAAACCCACATATATTTGGTGTTTGTCCCAGGCTATGGCAGGCAGGGAAGCTGGTGGGATTCCCTGAATGAGAGGAATTTCTGTTGTTACTCTTCATAAGCCCTTTCCTGCCCTGCGCCCGAGTTTACCCTGAGCTGGTGACTGGCCAGCACCTTGGGGACAGGGCTGTTTCTGGAGGAAGAGACCCAGTGGGGGGTGGGGGTGGGGTGGAACTTCCGCTGCACAGGTGACCCTGAGGAGGGTAGGGGACGCGATGGCTCCAACCGCCCTTGTGGGAGCTGCAGGCGGCCGAGCAGGAGCAGGTCACACTTGCCTGGGCCAGGGTGGGGGGCAGCAGGTTCCCCCTTCGGGGATAGGACGGGCTCTGCCTCAAGGATGGGCAGCGGCGGAATGGAGACAGGAAGAGCAAAGAGAGAGGCGCAGAGAGGAGGAGGTCTCCGAGTCACGCCAGGATTCACCCCCAAAATCCCCCACCTTGGGCGTGGCCGGCCAGGCCCGCGCCAGGAACCTCACTGGGCCCTGCACCCGCATCCCCGCGGCGCCTGCCCCAGGTTTTGTGATCTTACGGCCCGCTGAGATTCGGGGTGACATGGCCGCCCCTCTTCCATGACCAACGTCTGCAGCCCCAGAAGATCTGAGCGCAACTCTCAAAGCAAAACCCGCCTTCAAGTGAACCAGGCGCGGAAACTGCGACTTGAGGCCCTGCCGCTGGGAGAGAGGATAGAACTCAGCTGGAAGCGGCTCTGCGAAACCAGGGCGGGAGAGGTTTTCGCGCTGTGGTGGATGAGGCAGTGGAAAAGCACTGGGGCTATGAGGGGAAGTCAAAGGCCAGGTGTGTGTGCTAATTTGGCAGTCTTTGAAAGTAAAATAAAGCCGGATGTGGTGGCTGCACACCTGTGATCCCAGCACTCAGGAGGCTGAGGCAGGACAGCCGTGAGTTCAAGGCCAGCCTAGAATATATAGCAAGACCCTGTCTCAAAAAATCAAATCAGAAAAGAAAGTAAAATAAAAGCTCACCTCTTGATGCTGGGAGGTAGTGTGCAAGTTGGAGCAGGGTGTCCACTGAGTGAGGCTTCCACCCTCTCCAGAGACTGAAGGTTTCATTTCAGAGGTGCTCACGGGCCCTGGAGGAAGGCTCTGCTGAGCTGTAGGAGTTTAACACCTCAAAGGCAAAGAAAGAAGGGACAGTTGAGCCGGGTATGGTGGCGCAGGCCTGTGATCGCAGTGCTCTGGACTGGCAGGGGAGAGGGGTGGACAGCAGAGCTGGGGCTCAAAGCAGGGCTGGGGCTCAAAGCAGGGCTGGGTGCAGGCTTGCCCTGCTCACATTCGCGTCGGTCACTGAGAGCTGGTGGGTGCAGCTCCGGACACCATCAGTGTGACCCTCACCCCAGGACACTTTCGCCTGCCACTTCCTTTCGGTGTCATTTCGAACAAAACTGCCAGGACTTCAGTGCGCATGCGTGTAAACCTCCCGGGCTCCTGGGAAAGTGGATTCTCCTGCGTTGGCCGGGAGCCATCGGAGGCTGCATTTCTAGCCCAGTCCCATGAGGAGGTTTCAGAAGAGGCAAATTCAGAGCTGATGAGGCTCGATCCCCCCAGCAGACCATTTTTTGGCCGCACACTGGTATCATTTGGGGAAATTTAGAAACTCCGGATGCCTTCTGGGGTCCCCGAGGGATTCTGGTTTAATTGATCTGGCCTGAGTGTCAGGGATTTTTAAAGATCTGTGGTGATTTTTTTTTTTTTTTTTTGGTACCGGGAATGGAACTCAGGACCTTGAGCTTTCGAGGCAGGCGGTGGAACCACTGAGCTAAATCCCTGGCCCAATCTGTGGTGATTTTGATTTGCAGTCCATTTTGAGAACCACAGCACAAAAGAGCCGAAGAGATTGAGAGACATAGGGGGAGGATTTTAAGGCATTCAGCTGTAAGTCTGAAATCCACATGGCAGGCAAGAAAATCATGTTATAGGCACAAGGCAAAACTGCTTCTTACACAGAAAACCTGGGTTTTTGTTTTGAAGCCTGCAACTGATGAGGCTCACCCTTTTCTCCATTTTGGAGAATAATCTCTTTTACTCAAAGTCTACAGATTTAAGTATTAATCACACTCAAAGAATGCCTTCATCAGCTGGATGTGATGGCACACACTTGTAATCCCACCTTTGGAAGGCTGAGCCAGGAGGATGCCAAGTTTGAGCCCAGCAACTTAGTGACTTAGCAAGAGCCTGTCTCAAAAAATCAAAGGGCTTGGAATGTGGCTCAGTGAGAAGGCCCTGGTTCAATCACTGAAGAAAAAAAAGGATGTTTTCATCACAATGTCCATGTAGTGTTGGCCCACACAGCCTGGCGAGGTGACAATGACATGCACTGTCACAGAGGTTTCCAGCCAAACGTCTGCGGTAACACAGACAGGAACAGGGTGCCTGGCAGGGATGGGGTTTGTGGAGGGTACACTTTGGTTTGGGAGACGGGAGGAATGACCCCAGCGCTCCCTGCCATATTGCATGGCTACCTCTGCAGGCTCTTCAGGAGCAAGGCCCACGACCCCTTCCTTCCTTGGGTCCCAAATGTGGCCGCGGGTCCCCTGTGCCCATGATCTCTGAGCTGTCACGGGGGGATCGGTGCCCCTCTGTGGGACCATGAGACCCAGGCAGCCTGAGCTGTGGTGACAAAGGGCCACCAACTGGGTGGCTCAGGATGGTGGAGACTCATGGCCCACAGTTCCGGGGCTGGAGGTCTGAAATCGAGGTTCGGCAGGGCTGGTTCCCAAGGGGACCTGGTCCTTCCTCTCCCAGCTCCGGTGACCTTGCCATCCCCAAGCTTTTGCTGTGTCACTCCAGTCCCTGCCTCTGTTGTCGCCTGAGTTTCCCTGTGTGTGTCTGTCTGTCTGTCTTCACGTGGTGTCTCCCTCCTCTCATAGGGACACCAACATCTTGGGGATGGCCAACACTGATGGCCTCAGCTCCACTCCACACAGACCTGTTTCTTATTTTGGTTTTTCGGTTTTTTCTGGAGGCGGCATCTTGCTATGTAGTCCAGGCTGGCCTTGAGCTGCCAGCAACCCTCTTGCCTCAGCCTCCCAGACTCTGGGATTATAGGCTTGCACCATGACCCTGGGCCAGAGACCCTATTTCTCATTAAGGAACCAGGGGTGAGGAGTTCATCGTATCTTTTTAGGGGACACAATTCTGCCCATCACACCCTCCATTTCTGAACACCCCTCTTTTCAGACACTTTCCTCTCTGAGTCCATATAATCCGTCTCTAATTCTAACCGCTACATGGCCTTGGAGCCCCATCAGAAAAGTGAGGAAGAGGGGTTGGGTCGGTGGTGCACATCTGCGACCCCAGCACTGTGGGAAGCTGAGGCTGGAGGGTCACGAGTTCAAGGTCAGCCTGGGCAAGTTGGCAACTTAGCGAGACCCTGTCTCAAAAATAAATAAATAAAAATTAAAAAATAAGTGAGGAGGAGGAAGTAGAGAGGTCTGTTAAATGCTAACTAGCTCAGGAGAGTTTAGCTTAGGGTTTGTTCCCCAGGCCCTGTCACAGTAGTGCCATGTCCACAGGGAAGTGTCTGTGAGGGCTCCGAGTGGAGGCGGCAGAGACCAGGGGAGCCCTGTAGGTCAGGGCCCTGTATGGGGCTCTGAATTCCCGGGGGTGACAATGGCCATGCAACCAGCACAGGTGCCTGGGGGATTCTGCCTTGGGCTGGAGAGCACACGGTGACTTCCAGGAACTGTAATCCCTTGACATTTTGAGGGCAAGAACAGAAAGTTTCACCAATCATTGCTCAGACCTGAGGTGACCACAGCCAGCTTTCACTACGGTTTTCTCTCTCAAGACACCAAGTGAGTGATGCCAGGCAGGTACACGGGTCAAGAGTGTCCTCTGATGGAGGAGGTTACGGGCCAGACCGTGCCACCCCGAGCATACCAACCCTGTGGCACCTGGGTCGGGGCAACCACGAGCAACCCGGAAGCCTCCACGGAGGTCCCCTGCTCCTCTAGATGGTGGGAGGTGGCCAAGTTGCGATTTCTATGCCAAAGACCTAGGACAGGGTCCCCAGAGGACCGACACTGGTGTGGGCCGGTGGCCTGCTAGCAACCAGGTGGCGCAGCAGGAGGTGAGCGGCGGCAGAGCCCGCAAAGCGCCATCTGTATTTGCAGCCGATGCTCCGCCTGCTGTCAGAGCAGAGCAGCCGGGCCTTGGCATCTGCGGGAGCGCGGACCCGACGGTGAACTGTGCGTGAGCATTCGGGATAAAGGGAGGAGGGCACCACACGCCTCTGAATCACCCTGAAACCAGCAGCCGCCGCCTCTATCCTCCGCCCCATCCACGGAAAAGCTGGCTTCTGTGAAATCAGACCCTGGTAGAAAGGATGGGGGCCACTCCCCTAAGAGATCTGCAGGGCTCTGAGCCTCTAATTCCACGGAGCCCTGGCACATGCCCTGTTGGCTCTAATGGGGGACAGGCAGCAGGGTGGCCGGTCCAAGGAAGCGTGTGTGTGTGTGTGTGTGTGTGTGTGTGTGTGTGTGTGTCTGCTAATGACTGCATTTGGTTGGATGAGTGTGAGGTGTAAATGGCAAGCAACTGATGGGAGAACAATACTGCACACTCATCATCTTCGGCCAAGGGCAGCTGTCTCTGAAGACAGGAGGCCCTCAGAGCTGGGACGCTCTTCAACTCCGTAACTCACACTGCTGGCTCTGGGCTGACACTGTCAACACTCATTTTTCCACCAGGTCACCAAGTGTTGTCCCAGGGGGAAGGAGGAGACGGGGTCTCCAGCCTCAGGGTTCACGTGGACCCGCAGGAAGCCTCACGGGGCCCCCCCAGCACACACACCAAATGTGCTTGACGTGGACGCGGGAACTGGTTGGCAGGGAGACTTCCCGGCCGGCCAGACTGATGGGTCATTTTCTGAGCCTGGAGTACGGGGCAGGATGTAGTTTGGAAGAAGGTGGACTTGGGTGCCCCATGGACCTAAGAAAATGGGTCTCATGGAAGTGTCTACCGTAAAGCAGGACATACAAGGCAAGAAGCCAGAAGAGAGGTTAGGGGGAGGGGCAGATTCCAAAGGCACGAGGGGCCCTATTCCCAGAGGGAGCTCAAGGAGGCTGCTTTGAATATGGTTTCTCTGCCCCAATGCCCATCGACTGAGGATTGAATAAAGAAGATGTGCATGTGTGTGTGTGTGTGTGTGTGTGTGTGTTTTAATAGAATGGAGTACTACTCAGTCATAAAGAAAGATAAACTAGAGATATTTATAGCTAAATGAATGTACCTTGAGGCTATACTCTTAAGTGAAATAAATAGGACACATGTGTGTAAATACTGAATTGTCTCCTTGGTGTGAGAAACTGAAAGTGTAAATGAGGACCAAAATGTACAATAGATATTGTGAAATTGGAAGAAAAATTTCAAAAGGGAATGGGAACTAGGAAGGGGGATTGGAGAAAGGAGAGTAGGGAAAGGAAAAAAATGAAAAAAGAAGGAAAAAATGGAAACAAAGCTTCTGTGTATAGGGAGGGGTGGAGGGGTTGAAGGGAGGGGAGGGGAACGGGAAAAAAAGAAGAACCAAGATACATCATGTACAGGTACAAATTCCCAATGATGAATGTGATCAAAATGTATACCTAAAATGTACCAATAAACTTAATAAAATATACAGGTTTCCTTGTGACTCAGGTGTGACAAGGCTGATAGATCAGGAGGCAGCTGTCAGTGGCAAGACAGTTGTTACTCACAGGTCCCAAGAGGAGCCACAAGGCTGGACAGGAGGCCGAGGGGGAGCCAGGGAAAAAGTGAGCAAGAGGCTTTTCTTATGTTTCTGAGGAAGCCAGGCCAGGCAGGGCTGGAGGGCGGAGGACGGGCGCGGGGACACAGGGTCTGGGTTAGTGGTCCTGTCTGGTCCTGTCCCTGGGTGATCGGGCAGCGGACGGCGGCTGGAGTTTGGGAGCCCGAGAGGGCTCTGGGTTGGTTGGTTGGTTTGGTTGGAAGAGTGCTCGTGGGTGCAGACTCCCCGGGGTGACCAGGCCCCGAGACGTCACGAGTCAGCACACAATCAATTCGTGATTACAGAGGTGAGGAAGGCACCAGGAGGACATCAGTGTTTAAGGGCAGGGGAAGCTGAGGAAGCCAAGGGAGAGACTGAGAAGGGCGGGAAAGCAGGACAAGTGCTGTCACCAAAGCCCAGGGAGCTCAAAAAGGCTGGCCTTAAACTCATGGCGACCCTCCTGCCTCTGCCTTCTGAGTGCTGGGATTACAGCCATGCCCACCACGCCCCGCTCTAAATGTTTTTTTTAACAGAGAGAAAGAAGCTGTCATAGTTGACAGCCTAAGCAGAAGGGGTCGGTACAGAGGCAAAGCTGACGATACAGAAGAGGAAAAGCAGACAGAGGAGAGAAGGCCCGCGCTGAGCTCACTTTAGAAAGTGGCACTGAGGGAGAGGAGCCACTGGGTGTGTACCAGGTGGGCACCCTGGTCTCCCCCGACCCATCTACGGAACCAATCAGCCAGGCAGGCACACGGTTCAAACTTTTTCGAGATCTTTATTCTTCATTCTCAAAAGAGGACCTCAGCTTATTATCAGGAAGCATTTCTGAAAGCCACAAAGATGCCGGGAATACAGTGTTTAAGAAAGAGGTTTAGGAACAGGCCCACGCTCCCCCAGTCCCAGGGTCCTCACAGCAGCCCTGGGGTGGGCAGAGCTGGGCAGGAAGCCCCGTCATTTCCTGGGAAGCCACGTGTGTCCCGAGCCACACAGCTGACAGGACGGGAGGGGCCTG